ATTGTAGCTCAGAGATTACTGTAAAATGGTAGCAAGAGTGATGCTACCATCTAATGAAGACTATCATACCATGGTTTTCAAAATGAATATGACGCTATATAAAAATGTTGCATTATATCGCAAATATATGTTCACTACTGTTTAAAAGTTTGGAATCAATGTTTTCAGTAATATAAAACCAATATGATTGCAGATACATGTACAAAATGATTCTAATATGCTCATCCTTCAACTTCACAGGTTTCAAATAATCAATAGGATGCTAAAGAGATGAAAATAAAAATTAAGAAATGTCAGATGTGTCCAGAATGATAAACGAATGATGAGTCTTAGAAGATTCTAGAATGACAGAGCAATCTGTATAACATCAAGAATGAAGTTAATTAAGTAATAACATTAATATCAATAACTCATATTTCAAAAGTGGAGATCAAATCTTAAGGCAGATGACAAAAATGTAAGTTAAATATATAATTACAGTGTATTATTTATTACCTAATAACTTCTTGTCCACAGAATTCTTGAAATATTCAAAAACCTTTGAATAAATTGTGTGTAATATTTAAATCCACAATGTACAACTTACTATACTGTATATAACATAAAAATGTTAAAATGGCAAGTGATTCAAAACGTTTAAACTGAAGTGTACATTGTCTCTGAAAGTGTTAACATCTGCTAATGTAACTTTTAAAAAAATCAATTTTATACAATATTTCACACAATGTAGAGGGCAAAGGGAAATGACAAAAATACTTATCATCTCCTAACTGGTCCTAAGTTTGTAGGAGAAAGGAAGAAATGTTTTTAACTTCATTGTAAGTTAATGTAAGGACATTTTTGTAAAGTATATGGCAGCTGGTGTAAAAATAAATACATAAATAAATAAAAACATGAAAAGAATGGGCCTCATTCACCAATATCTTTCTAAATTTTTCTTAAATGGGGTCTTGAGAAAAGTCCTAATAAAAAGTCTAAGTCTTTGTTTTCTTAAATCACAGAATTGTTCGCCCCTTTGTGCTCTTGATTGTGCATAGATCCTGTTCTTACCTAAGAACAAATCCCTAATAAGAAAACATTTGTGAATGTCAGAATCGTTATGAATACTGCATAAGTGGGTTTAAGAAGACATTTCTTCTTAAGAACGGTTGGTGAATGAGGCCCATTAGAGTTTAAGTGTACTGGGGGTAAGTACAATATATAATTAGGTGAGGTAAAAAACCCCTTCTCAAGCAGTACTGTAAATGTGTCTGTCTACTGTTTTTCCTAGTATAAGCCCCTCCACTGCTGCTACAACCCCCCGCAGCTAACAACCCCCACAGCCACTCCCACTAAACACCAGTGGTGGGGAATGATGCCGGTTGCTCTACTACTGCAGATTTCATGGCAGAATAAATTTACTATCAGAAGCATTAAAGGCAAGCTTTACACCTCTACTTTTTGTGAGTGTTAGATTTTCTGTGTGGTTGCACACAGCAGCTGTGCTTTTTTATGACCATTTAGCATGCCGGTGTGCAGTAAGACCACTTCTGTTCATGGGGGCCAGGGGACCTAATTCATCACCACTGTTAAAAGCCAAACATGTTCAATATTACTCAGCAATGTCAATGTAGTAATCAGGTTTGTACACTTAAATATGGCACTGCACAAGCTAAGGAGCAATGCTTTTTTCCCGTAACAGTAGGTCTATTAAAGGAAAAGGGTAAGGGGCAATTAAAGGGGTGGTGATGTGACACTGCATCGGAAGCCAGAGGGAGTCAGGGTGTCAGTGTGTGACAGCAACGTGTGCTTAACACATGCAGAGTACTGCTAGAGTGACAGACAAACAGCTGTCTGCATATTCTCACATACATTCACATACTGTACTGGGCAAATGGCTATTCTCTGTGCTGTTTATATGCTATTCAATACTGTCTGTGAAAAGAAAAAGCATGTGCCTGCATTCAGGCACCCAGAGTGACTTTGCTCAGTGACATCGTAGACATTTGCCTTTTTAAGCTCATAGGAATATATCTCTGAGTCCTGGCGCCAAGCACTGACACATAACAACGTGCTGAAAACTCTTGTGGTGTTTGAAAACTACACGGTTAATGCTTTTCATTTCCACTCAGCTTCTAGCTTGTTAAGTATAATCTGTCAATTTATTTGTGTACATATTTAGATTACAGAACCATTACAAACCATTTCCTTTACCCTGTTCCCCAAGGGTGAGAACTTGAAAGGATGAAGATAGATACGTCCAACTGCAGGTGGAATTAAGAATGATTGTAATGCAAAATTGTTTAATTTGGGAAAAATGCTTCTCAAATACAAGTACTGATGCATCAGTGAGAATGCACTTAAAGGGAATCATTCCTTCTGTTCTCTGTTACATGATTAGCTTCACTGAAGTTTAATACTATGAATAAATTGCTGATTTGACGTTACGAAACTGACTCTAAAGCCGAAGTGCTATGGTGACCAATACGAATCATGATTGTACCCTGTTCATAGGATCGCTTTTATTAAATGCAATGTAACCAACAACTGGACATAATTTGAAGAAATGTTGTTAATAAAATGTTGAAAGTTACATAACGATTAATCCAATTAAAATGCTGAAAAATACAGTAACTATAGCATGTACTCCCTTTGCTGATCTTGAGTAGATAATTAAATACTTGAGTAGTTGGCAGTTGTGGTAAAATTTGTGGTATTCTGTTCAAGAGTAGAATATTAAGTAGCAGAAATCTAGAACAGTGTTTCATCTGATTATTACAGGTCAACCTGCATGTGATTGGCGATTGTTCTGTGGTGCCATATTTTGATTGACTTGAGGCTGAGAGAAATAAGACTAGAAACAATATCATAATCACAATGAAGGCACTCATTTAAAAGGACAGGAGGCAAAGGAATGGGAGATGGTGATAAAGCGGCAGAGGAGAGGTAGCGGGTATTCTGGTGGAGAAGCAGAAGCTGCTCTGGACGAGTATAATAGAGGCTATTATGCAGAACAAAAGAACCTTGCTGTTGAAAACTCAGAAGAGACAACCCCAGCACACAACCAGTCTTGGTTCAGTTTGCTGAGAGAAGTTAGTGTAATGCATGTATGTGAGCAAGAAACTAGGCAAAGGGAAGGATTATGTTTGTTTGGTCAACCTAACCCCAAACGTCCAAGGAACCATGGAGAAACTAACTTTTAAATATTACTGCCATATACTGTATTGTTTTTCCTGTGCAGTTATCTCCCCAATTTCGTCATTGCTAATTCCATCCACTAGTTAGGTGTCTCTTTATTACCCAATTCTACCAAGCTGGGAGGCTGAAGGCTACTACATGCCTCCTCCAAAACATGTGAAGCAACACCATATCTTTTCAAACTGCTCCTAATGCAATATTATTGGACAGCCCAATGCATTTGGAGAATGCTAACTGCTAATTCTGTTATGTCAACTAACAGAGGGCTGCACTGGCTAGCATTGTACTGAGTGATGGGGGGGCACCCTACTCACCCAAAGAGGCTGAAGCCAATTCTGATCTCTTGAACTCCCTGTCCTCGGTGGCTGTGGCATCGCCAGAGATCAAACAAAGAGATCAAGTGTTCTCCCAATTACAGGGCCAATGCTTAGACATACTGTATTTTTTTGAGAATGCTATGAGTTTAGCTTTAGTGAAAAGGCATCTCCTGTCTCTCACTCCTTTCTCCAACTGAATATCAAAACAGAGAGAGAGAAGAGAAAGAATGTGGAGTAGAAGAATGCTCGCTGTGTGTATAATTATCCTAAAGGCCTGTTGAAGATGGACTGGAGTTGCGAACTCCTATTATAAAGTACCGCGACCTTTACAGAGAGCTGTGTAGGAGTGCAGACTGACAATACACTAAAACAGCTACATGATGTATTCCAGTCCTTTAAAAACCTTTTATGTTTGTTTCATAATCATGACCGTGTACCAACCATGCAAATCTTTACATAAATGTTTATCTTAGAAAACATAATTGTTTATTTACTATGTAAGTAAACCTACTAATGGTAGTATTTTTTGATAAATAAAAAAAATAATAACTTCTGCTAGTGCCCCAGTGGGATTTGCAAAGTTATGTTACCATCAAGCTAATGGTGTTGTAAATATGCTTCTCACACTGGGTTTTATAATATTTCTAGATGCTGCAGCTTAAATATAAACATATATTAATGCATTATAGGCTGTCAAGGATATTAGTAGCCAGTGTGATTTGAATGGAATGAAATGGTTAGGCTATTCACAAATACAACTAACATAAACTACGCATGAGTTAAATGTAAAAAAACACAGTAAAAAAAGATACTGACTGGATTACTGATCTACACCAAGTTCTCTCACTAAACACAAAGTCACAGAAAGTTTCCCTGTTTGACAAATGTACTGCTGCCCCAACTGAAGTGGAAATCTTATTGGCTCTGCTGCTGAGTTTGACTACCTGTCTGTTCATGCCTACAGATCAGTGGTCCGTGAGTTTAGGATGGATTTTTCAAATAAAGTCAGCATGAATTCAATCAAAAAGTGCTGGGGAATTAGTTTGAAAAGTGCTGGCTCAAATGTCCACTCTCCTTGCTTGTTCTTACGTCCATGGATGGTGACATGCAATGTCATACAGGGGTTAGGATATCGCATTGTATCTTAATCAGTGCTCATCCAGCATTTGAGAGAAGGATCTTGGATTATGAATGTCTACCTAATAAAGTTACTGAGTCTGCAGCCACCCGGCTATAATGACTCTGACCCTGGAAGACACTCTATGTCAGTCTGATGTTCTAATCACATGAGGATTCTTATTCACTTTGCTAAATATAAATCCAGCTTTGCTGTCTGTGTTTTCCTTTTGGATAATACTTTTGAGGAGTGAACGAAATTACAGTCCATAGGTAGCAATGATAATACGGACTGGACTGTCCGCCTAAACATCTGTTATTATAACCCACAAACAAAAACTGTGTACGGTACAGGATGCGCTAACAGTGTGATGTGAACGTCAGACTCACTTGCAGGTGACTCGTTGTGGTTTTCTTCATCAGAATCAGCAAAAACCTCAGCCAGCTCCTGGTCAGACATGTCCGTGAGCTCTGTCAGGTCTAGCAAGTCGAAATGCACCTCCAAGGAGGACACACTGCTTAGGGGCTCTGTAACAACACAGCAACAGAATGCTGAGTACTAGCATGGTTTTTCTTAGTAAATCAGACAGGCTGTTTCTGTTACTGTGCCTTTGAGACTGAGAATGTTGTATGCACATGTTTGAATACCCCTGGTAAAATTACATGTTTGTTAATTTTCTAAGTAAAAATAAGTTAAAACATCCTCTACTGGGAACAACCTTAAATATGGCATTTCTCTAAAAAATGTATTGCACAATTTCTATTTATTTACTGAGTTTAAAATATAGAAAGAAAAAGAATAAAAAACAAAGTATAAATCTGCCATAACATTTGCATCAGCTTGGCAAACAAACAATAATTGTACATTAAAATGTACAAGACTGTGTTCTCTGCAGAGGATGTGTGAACTTATTTTCATTTAGAAAAAGAACAAAACGTTATTTAACCAGGGACACCCAAACTTTTGCTTGTGAGTGTATGAGTAAAAGACCCTGTTCTAATTGGCTGCTCTATATTGCGCCCCATTCAAAAAGCAGTCCAGAATGAAACACTCCTTATAACTTCAGCATGAATGGACAGGGCTAAACTACTGTAAGCTCAATATAGGTATATAATTAAATGCGATGGATTTCATAATGTTACAAAAATAATGAAATTTAAATGGACTGTTTTTTGTAGTTTAGTTTCTGTATATGGGGCTTATGGACAGGGGAGTGAACAGTAGGCTTTAAAACTCATTTAAAAGATAAAATCAAGAAATTTTACATACTATGAGCCCTTTCATGTTAGGCTTTTAACAGCAGTCACTGGCTCACTTATCATTTCTGCACTATTCAGTGCAGCCCAGTGAAGGATGAGTTCTCTTGGTTCCTCTCAGTTTTCTCCTTAATGGCAATGTTGTAGAAAGCATTTAAAACTGTATTAAACTGAAATGAGTATTTAAATAGTTGTTGCTCCTCCTCTGTAAGCCTGACAGACAGGTAAAAGACATGTTTGGGATGTTGGAGGTCCTAAATCCAAACCAGCATGGATAAGCATGATCAGAATGCCAGCTTTAAGAGCAGCGTGGACCAGTTAGATATCTGTTGACAGTTAATCAGGAGAAAACATTGTTCCATTTCAGCTGTGTTTAGCAATATTTTATGAGAAGCAAACACTCAGGCTGCTGGCTCTGTGATGAAGCATTTGTTTGGCTAAATAGTTCATTAAGCAGGGAATGTGTTAACTGCTTCTTTTTAGAGGTGCCTACACTTTCCATGTCCCACTCATGTCCAGCTCTTCCTCTTTGTCCTCCTGTCTCTCATTCTGTCCCTTATCTTCTGTTTACTGATATATTTTAGGCCACTCATCTCCGTTCTCTTGGCCAGTCTCCTTCTGTCATGCCAAACTTATTCCTCAGCAGAGCTGGACAGTAACAGTGGCCTTTGGGACGCATCTCTCTTTCAAGCTCCAAACAGCCTCAGTCCCTCCACTCCTGGGTCATCAAGTATTTATGACTGTTACATGAATAACCCTGTGTCTGGGACTTTTCATTCTTCTTAAGCTTTGATCTTTTTGCAAAAAAAAAGTGTACACTGCAAGAAATGGTATCTTGGCATGTGACATTATCTTAAATACAATCGATATATCTAATATTTCAAATGTTGAGATTGTTGTAAGCTTGTTATAAGATTATTTAACTTATTTTTAGACATTTTTACTTGTTTTAAGTCATTTCATCAAGTAACATCAGATTTTATTCTTGATTTAAAAAATATACTAGAAACATGCAAAATTATGTCATTATATTTTGACATTATTATTATTATTATTATTATTATTATAGAATATTATATCATTGCTGAAATGGGAGTTCAGTTGTGCTTGATCTCCATAGAAACACACTGCCAATAGAACGGGATGCTGTGGAGCAGCCGCACATGAGACTAAGGCCACCATACCCAATGCCTTGGCTGGAGGTATAAGATCCCCAGCACTGGGCTGTGGAGCAGTAGAACTGCGTTTTGGAGTGATGGAGTCCCATCTAATACTTTTAGGATGAGCTAGAGTTCTGTTTGTGATCCAGAACTAATCATCCAATATCAGCACCCGACCTCACTTATGATCCTGCAGCTGAAAGCAATCAAACCCTCATAGCAATGTTCCAACATCTGGTGTACAGGCTTCACAGAAGAGTAGAGGCTGTTACTGCAGCAAAGGGGGACAAATTCCCTATTACTACCCTTCAATGTTAAATTACTGCCAAAAATAAGTAAATCAAAAAACAAAGGTGTGTTGATGTATATTTTATTCACATGGACGTGACTGGAAATACATATTGGAAGTAAATTCACTGCATAATTTTTCATTGTATAATACCCAGTTCTTTAGGGAATGCTACGCACTGCACAGTGTTCACCTGTCTCTAAGAGACGTGATATTGCTGCTGTGTTAATAAAGCTCTTCTCTTCAGGCTGTTGTAGCCGCAGGCTGGGTAGTGGCCTTTATTTCCGAGCTCATTTGTTACTGTTCTGAAGGTGCGACTGATCTCTCTCAGCATGCCTCTGTTAAATATAGCAGTGGCATTGATTAAAAAACAACGACCCTCTAACCAAAATGAGGTGAATCCACAAGACAGAAGCAATGCTGCAGCTCATTCAAAAAAGTAGATATATTTAGTACTATTATTTATGACAAACAGCTAAACCAAGATTCATAGTATGTGAGGCATCCTTGGTGTGGTTAAATCAAAACACCTTATTATTATTATTATACCCTGAAAAAAAGCAATGAAAGTAGATCAACCTTATAAAATAACATTTACAGACCAGTGAGTCTACACTGACATACAATGGCCCATTACACTAACCCCTTGATGTTTTTATTGACTCTTTCAAGCCTCAAAAGGTAGGCTGCTGGAATATGAAGGGTTTTTTCTAGTCATTGTCCTTCCTGCTGTCATACAACACAGTAGGTGCTTTCCTTTCTGCATAATGCATGCTTTGAAGCCATATAAGTAGCTTCTCCTGGCTGTCTTAAAGCCATACACTTTCAGCTATGCATGGGTAAAGAGGTTAGACAGGCAGACAGCTAGAGAAGGAGACAGGCGGCAGGGTCTAAACCGTTTGAAGTCCGTTAATGAGTCTTCATCCCTCACAGCGTGGATCAGAGATGGAAGAGGAGTCAAATGCTTTCATGCACCTTTTCATTCCTCCAACTGAAACCTGGAAGCTTCCAACCTCCATCCTGTCACACAGACGTGCACACACACATTCACTCATGGTGAACGGCCTGGCTTAATGAAAGTAAATCCATTTGATTAGGAGTCACTGGTGCACATCTGGCAGCTACACACATCTCAGAAACCAGCTGTGATTATGATTATAAATCTGAACTTGTAAATAAGTCAGTCACTGAGACACATTCTCCCATCTGCCTCCAGCCAGGTCTACGGTCATAAAAATAAAGTTTCCGAAATTGCTTGTGGCATGGAACCTTTAAATGGTGTAGAGCCTCTACAATAGGTGGAGGCGGAAATGTTCACAAGTCTTGAGTCTCTGGGGTGCGAGTCTGAGTTTGAATCGAGTCTCAAGTTTCTGGGGTGTGAGTGCAGGACGAGCCTTGAGCTTTTAGCAGAGAATTTTAGTTTAGTCTCTTTATTATTTGTAACACTGCAATGTACAAAAGTAAACCTCTACTAAAAACCTGGTTTGACACAGCCTATCATTATAGAAAAGGCTTCAGTCTGAATGACAGAACTGAAGCGCTACACACAGTAAATGCAGCATTCAAAAGAAAAGACAAAAGTTCTTGGTACTAGACATTTAAGACTGATAAACGTAAATGATCTCTGTTCTGATTTGCTGCCCTGTATTTTGCTTCATTAAGAAAGCAGTCTGGGCTAAAACACTCGACGTTACTTCAGTGTGACTGGACAGAGCTAAAATGTGGGCTGAACAGGCAGATATATTGAAAACAATGGGCCTCATTCACCACTATTTTCCTAAGTTTCTTCTTGAATTTGTTCTTGAGAATGGTCCTAGGAAAAAGTCGACGTCAGATACATTATGTGTTCTAAATTGCAGAATTGTTCACACCTTTGTGCTCTTGAGTGTGTGTAGATTTTGTTCTTACCTAAGAACAAATCCCCTCTAATAAAACAGAGGTGAATATTAGATTCATTGTGAAAACTGCATAAGTGGTTTGTAAGAAGAAATTTCTTAAGAACGGTTTGTGAATGAGGCCCAATGAATTTTAAAAGAGCTGTTTCGCAGCTCTATTCATGCACTGTATGGAGTGAACAATACATTTGGAAACTCTAACAATATTGACATATTGCATCAAACTCTGTTATTTCAAGAAATTGAGGAAAATTTGTGTTTCCATGATATGCGTTCTTTAAAGGAATACTTTAGCAGTTTTCAGCCTAATCATTGTATGTGACGTACTGTTGTTGTGCTTAATAAAAGAGCTGAAAACCCACTGACTAACCCACCAAATACATTTGCAATAGAAATCAGTGGGCAGATCCCGAAGCAACTTGTCATTGGCTTCAGTTATAAACTTGTTCTGCGTCAACATATTTTCTTTTCTAAGTACAGGGAAATTATTGTCTGTGGTAATCAACTGTATTTAGATAGAGAATAGGCTGAAAAGCACAAGAGCATTCTTTTACAAAATGCTTCCCTATGGCCAAATTAAGCTAAAACAGCGGTTCTTCTGTCATACATGTTGTAAAACATGATCTGGTATATGTTGTACATTCAATGCCCTACAGGAAGCACAAAGCCTGTACTTAAAGACTTTGTACTTTGGCTTTCACACTCTATCCACAATAATTTTACATATTTATAAGACATATGGAACAGGGAATTCTTAGGATGTGGGAGGATGCTCCTTAGATTGGGTTATACCTCCTTTGTGTGTGTGTGTGCATGAGAGAGAGAGAGAGAGAGAGAGAGAGAGAGAGAGAGAGCGCAACACTCCTAGGAGATCTCCCAAGAGATGCTCGCCCACGGCTGTCTCTCACTGAGCCCCCCTTAGAGGGA